AGTTTCTCTGTCTTTATCGCCAGACTCTGTTAGCAGGTCTCAAAGGGGCTGGAAGGTGCCCAACCAATTTGGCAAAGGTACGTGCTATAACCCAGGGAGAAAATGAAACTCCCGCAGGGTTTCTAGAGGGCCTCATAGAGGGATATAGAATGTACACCCCTTTTGATCCCACAGCTCAGGAGGTCAGGTAGACCTTATTATGGCCTTCATAGGGCAATCTGCTCCTGACATTCGTGGCAAGCTTCAACGGCTAGAAGGCCTTCAGGGGTACTCCTTACAAGATTTAATAAAAGAAGCTGAGAAAATTTACAATAAGCGTGAGACATTAAAAGAGAGAGAAGATAAAATTAGAAAAGAACAGGAAGCCAGAAAAGATAAGAGAGAGAAAAAGAAAATAAAGAGTTAAGTCAAATTTTGGCCACAGTAGTCCAGGGAACAGGGCCAGGTAGGGACCTGGGAGACAAAAGAAGACCTCGAGTGGACAAAGATCAATGTGCTTACTGCAAGGAGAGAGGACATTGGGCTCGAGACTGTCCAAAGAAGTTGAACAGACAAAAGAAGACAGCCCAAGTCCTGGCTCTAGGGGACTAGGGGAGTCAGGGCCAGGAGCTCCCCCCTGAGCCCAGGGTAACTTTAAAGATGGGGGGCAATTGACTACCTTCATGGTAGACACGGGAGCTCAACCCTCGGTCTTGACAACAACCAAGGGACCTATGAGTTCCAAAACAGCCTGGGTCCAAGGGGCTACCAGAGGAAAGATATACAGGTGGACCACAGAAAAAAAAGTGGACCTCAGTACAGGACAGGTTTCCCACTCGTTCCTGTTGGTCCCTGACTGCCCCTATCCCCTTCTTGGAAGAAATTTACTCTCTAAGCTGGGAGCCCATATCTACTTCACTAAAAAGAGAGCTACTCTAAAAAAAAAAAAAAAATAGAGCTCCACTACAGGTATTAACCCTACGATTAGAAGATGAGCATCGGTTATATGAAGAACCAATAACAGGGACTCCTGGTATATCTGATTGGCTAATTAAATTCCCCTCAGCATGGGCTGAGACAGGAGGCCCGGGACTGGCATCCAACCAACCTCCAATAATGGTCACTCTAAGACCATCTGTAACCCCGGTTTCAATCAAGCAATACCCTATGAGCAGAGAGGCTTGAGAGAAGAGGGAATTAGACCCCATATTCAAAGACTTTTACAAATAGGCATACTCTGCCCCTGTCAGTCACCTTGGAACACCCCACTGCTCCCCGTAAGAAAGCCAGGAACAAATGACTACCGACCAGTCCAAGACTTAAGAGAAGTCAATCAGAGGATAAAAGATATACATCCCACTGTTCCAAATCCTTACACTCTCCTGAGTACCTTGCCTCCCAGTCAC